TTTTTTTTTTTTTTTTTTTCTTTTTTCTTTTTTTCGTTTTCTAAGCATTTGCAAATCGAAGAAAAGGGCAGATTTGGTTCTGTTCTGTTTCTAAGTCCATTTCTGACGGCATATTACCCAAATAACCTTCTTATATTCTCCTTTTCAATTCTCCACGCGGAGTCCCGCAATTATTATTGTCCAAAATTCTTTTGCAAACCCTCCAGAACCGTATGTATATTTATATATATTTATATGGTCATATTCCATAATTCTCCTTGGGAGCCAAGCCTTTAAAGTGCCAAAGGAAAAGGTTTAGTGTTGCCTTGATCAACAAATTATTGAACAGCATATCCATGTGGCTTCTCTTCATTTCTTCAGATTAGTACTTGAGAGATTCCTAACAAATTAGCTTTAATGATGTATAAATATTTATATCACACACACACACACCGACCGTCAGATTTTATTTTGAGGAATTTAGTTTCTTTTAAGCGTGTCCTCACAAATTAAGTGTTCTAATAAATAAGTTGATGGAATTATTCTCTTAAAATTGTCAGTTTGTGAGTAGTGATTTCAATATGTATAATCATCTAAATCTTTACAAAAACTCTAAATAAAATTCTTTAAAATGTTTTTGAAAGAAAATTGAAGCTTGTTCGAAAATCTAAATTTTTCTTAAAAGAAAAAAAAAACTAAAATAACAACTAGTATAAACTGTTAACATGAATGGAAAAAAGAAAAGAAAAGTCACCAAATTAAAAAGGATAATTAATAAAAATAATTTGTTGAGAGTGGGATTTGAACCCACGCCCTTTCGGACCAGAACCTTAATCTGGCGCCTTAGACCAACTCGGCCATCTCAACTTGTTTGGAATATTCCATTTTCTGTACAAATATATTCAGTATTTAATACGACACGTATCCTACTCATTAATACGTGTACCATCAACATCGAGGACCAACAGTGGAGATGATTCCGTACTGCTTTTCGAAACTTTCGCTTTGAATACATATGTGCATCCAAAGGGGTTAAGTCCACATTATATGGTAGTATTACTTATTATCTCTATTAATATTAACTTCCTTTAAGGATGGTGTTATAGAACATTAAAAACCTATTTATAAAGAGTTTTAGATATTATAGAAATACAAAAAAAATATTTAAAATTTTCAGTTTTAATTACTTTCTTTTGGTATTAGATATTCAAGAGGCACCCGCAAATGATCTCATATTTCTACATATTTTTCCATAAAATATTATTGGAACACATTTTAATGTGTCCAAAAGGGTGAAAAAAAGTTATAAATAAAAAATTATACCATAAAACAAAATTATAAAGATAGGATAAAAAGGGTATACTTCCAACCAATTTGAAAGTGAAATTTTATTCATTCACTTATCCCTCTCGTTTTCATCTCTTTCATATGGATTGGTTGTGTTCAGCAAATATAAAGTACAACTTTTGTCCCGGTTGGATTATTAAAAATATTTTTAAACTTTTAAAAGTTTCAACAATAACTTAGATTTATAAGAGATAAATGTCTCAAACAAATTCATTTTATTATCATATTTTTAAATTTATAATTTTTGCAGCTATAATGATGTTAAAAGTTCCAAAGGGAGAGATTTGGGATTTATGACTTAATTCTAAATAATAATAATAAAAAAAACTTATAAACAAAAATGGTAATTTAAAATTTTAGTTGGGATGTATACTCAATTGTAATAATCAATGTAATCTAGGAGTGGTCTTAAATTTTCATAATTATTAAAAGAAACAATACCCTAGGTTTAAGAAATATAATTAAAAATAAATTCTATAATTGTGATTTAATGAAATAAATGATGACATCAAATAACATGTTATCCAATGAACTTAGAGAAAATGATTTAATAAATATTTTGTGTTGATTGAAAGGAGGAGCCCACTTCTTCCTTTGAATATTTTGAAGTGATGGATGGGAATAAGAAGATGAATTCAGAGAGGGAGATAAAGGTGAGGGTACTTTTGTCATTGTGACAAGTTTAGTCGATGTTTTATAAAACAATGCCTCATGAGCCTACTAATATAAAATATAAAATTATAAAATATAAAATATAAAATATAAATAATCTCATTCACTCAAACGTTTTCTTCGTTTCGTTTCTATTTAAACAACCTTATATAATTCTGCTGTAGTCATCCCCAAGATTATCCATGTTTTGCCTATTTTTCTAATCAACGCCAACGGAATCGAATATTTTTACGCAAATGGATTAATTAATTAATTAATTAATTAATGGATTACTTTCGGTAATGTGAAATATTGGTCAAAAAGGAAAAAAAAGGAAAGAACCATACTTTAGTAGTACCATTAGGTCAAGGAAAGTCGAAATTAAGATTTGACCGAACTTTTTTTACCATGGTATATGGATGAAAATTGATACATGAACAAAAACATTTTTCCATTTGTCATGACAAATATAAGCTTGAAAGTTATTAATGGAAAGTTGAAAGTTAAAAAATATTGATATTAAAAAAGAATCCATAATGAGAGTTTTTTTCTTATTAAATTTAATAGTATCTAACCTGGTTAAGACTTATATAGCATGGTAAAAGTTTAATTCCATCCCAATGCATCAACTTAAAAAGGATTGTAAGATCATACAATGAATCGTAGACGTTATGCGTTGTTCGAATCGTAGACAACGAATGGACAACAAATCAATTTTTACATTTTACATGTTATCATCTACATTTTGGATCTAAAGATTGTAATTATGTAAAGAATAAATTGTTAAAAAAGACAGACCTGAAAAAATAAATAAAAAATTAACTTGGGATCATAAAGGGATAGAATAACAAGACCATTGAAATAACACTTCTGGAGATAGTAGAATAACGGATATGATGAACTCATAAGTGTAAGCAAATCTCTCAAATGTTTGGCAAAAACATGTTTGGTTTGTCCTAAAAACATTTTCTTTAACACGGCCAAAAACACAACAGGATGAACCAAAACACTCAGTGTCCGTGAAACTTGCAACCAATTTTCCAGCCTAAAGACACAAATGAGGAATATTCGCTTCGTTGCATGAATCAAATCTTGATACCTCATCATCAGTAACTTCTATCATATCTTTGATTCAGGCCTTTACTTGCATGATGCGGCCGCTGGTATTAGCAGATTGTTCCTTGATATCATAAGCAGCCCGGGGTTGGGAAGTGACCTGTAAATATATAGCTGAAAGTAAAACAAGTGTCAACAACGACTGCCTTAATCTTCATCAATAGACATCCCACATAAGTTAACAGTATACGTATGATGTGGAATATACATAATTAACATACTTTTCTCAAAGAGACGGGCACAAACAGGAACCTTGTACACACAATTCATCTCGTACCCTCTCTTTGACCAGCTATTTATAGGTTTGTTTCATTTAACAATAACCACCTCTTCGTTGTTCTGTTCATTCTCATTTTTTAAATCATGACATGATCAACACCATTAGATTCAGGTTTATAGCAAATGGTAGTAGGATATGTGTAGAAATCGTGCCGTGTTGGTGCAATCAAGTGATGAGATCAAGTTGAGCCCATTTGGTCATTTCCTTGAGTAACTTCACAAATGGAAAGGAGGAAGAGAAAGGTGCCGCTCTTAATATTACGGAAACACAAAAAGGTAATACCAACTTTTCTTTAATATTAACTACAAGCATCAAAATTAGTAGTAATCATAGAAGACTAACCAGCTCTGGCCTCTCATTTCCTTGTTTTATCAAGTACCTCAATGTACTTTTTTGGAATCCCATATTGTTCAACCAGATGTCTTGCCAAGTCATCAATGACTCCACCTTGGACCAAAACTTCATACCCTTTTTTACCTGAAT